GTGTCACTAATTCGGACAATGCCGGACAAGGGAGGGAGGGGGGTCTGAAAATCCATCATTTGGCCGGACATCCTTTGTGAATGGCCCCTTATATACGTAACAGAATAAGTGTTTTTGCCTTGAAAACAAGTCTTTAGGCCTCTTGGAGATATAGAGTATAATTTTCCTTCAATTTATCGCACTAACTCCCAATATAATTGCCTTCGAATTTCATTTACAAGAGAAAGAAAATTTCCTTTGAAGAGGAGCCTCTGATCTAATACAGATCACTGGAGTGCACTTTCCCTTGAGCGGAAGTGACAATATTTACATACCGATGAACACAGTGTATGCTAATGACACGTTGTCCAATGATTGCGCGCCATGTAAGTTGGCGCGTACTAAATTGCTCCTACAATACAAAAGTTAATCGTCACATCTAAACTTTAGTCAACGTTTTATAAAATCCACGTCGATTTCTTTGGAAAATTCACATCAGAAATGGGTAAAAAGAGTTTACTTCTGACCTATATTCTCTGGCTGTTTGTTGGATGGCTGGGGCTACATCACTTTTATCTCGGACGAGACTTACATGCTTTTATTTGGTGGTCGACGTTTGGGGGAATGTTTGGCTTGGGTTGGTTTCGTGATCTTTGGAGAGTGCCCGATTATGTAGACGATGCGAACGAGGAAGCTTCGTATATTGACAATTTTAAACAAAAAGTGAAACGAGGCACACCACAATTCAATATAAGTCGCTTTGTAGGACAAATGTTAGTAGGGTACTTCTACGGATTTCTTATCCGAATTGCAATCCCAGAGCATTATCCAATATGGACAACTGGATTAGTGGTTCCTTTTGGCGTTGCAGTCGGCGTTTACCTTGTAGGCAATGTCGGACGAGAGACAGGGGATTTTAAAACTCCGCTGTTCGTATGTTATGCTTCGAACGTTGTTATGGCTTGGTTAATACAACAAGAACCGGGTATTATGTACATTGCACTTTTCGGCGCGATGACTTTTCAAAATTATCGAAAATTCCGCATCGAAAGGCCGGCAAAACGTGGCATTTGCAAGAGATTTTTTATGATCTGCCTTGGCGGATGCATGGTCACTGGGTTATGGGTTTCATTCCTGTATCACAACGCTTCGGTTGTCACAGAGGACGGGGAAACGATCAAACTGCGCGATGCCGTCAATCATTTCTTCAACTCGCCTCTGTGGAAGGAATTCAAGGATGTATTATGGCAGTTATACAGAGAAGGACAGAAACAAGGCTGGGAAAATATGTACGATGATTTCGTTAAAGCTTTTGACCCGACGGGTGAACAGAACGCGCTAAAAGTTCTAAATTTGACTCAAAGTGCTACTCAAGAGGAAATCAAGAAGCGCTATAAAAAGTTAGCGCGCGAGTGGCATCCTGATAAATACCGCGGCGACAAAGAAACTGCTCAAAGCCGCTTTATGGAGATACAAGAGGCCTACGAAATCTTGTCCACGATTAAGGCGAAGCGAGCATCGAAAAATCAAAAGAAACGCGACGATTATAACAAAAAGTTCAACCAGAGGTAGCGGCCATCTTTGCGGAAGCAGAAATTGCAAGAATTATTGACCAATCAGAAACGCACATGTTGCAATTACTGAGTGATGAGTTGTTCACACGAAGGCTACGGGTGTGAAATACCCAACCGTTTTAAAGAATATAAACAATAATAGTAACACCAGAAATGTATTTTGTAACCCAGAATCATCACCTCAGTGATTTTAATCGCAGTAAATGTAAGCATATACCCTTGAGGCAACTATTCAGTTTCATTGGTTTCATTTTTGATAGGGTCTATTCAGTTTCTATCCAGTTTTCATTTCAATTGGGTCTATCCAGGTTACTATGAGATCAGTTTATCACTTTATCTCACACCACTTCCGGAAGTATGTCACCTTAGCTTTTAAGCCTCGTTTTCGTGATGAGACTGTGGGCATTAACTGATGTCAGATACATGAAAACAAGGCTCTGTAGCCAAAGTGACATACTTTCCGGAAGGGTGTATTCGAGCGATACTTGGATGTCTCAAGGATTAAGTTTACAAGGATTAGGATTAGTTTAAGGGTAGAAATTGCTGAATTGAACGGAGGTTGTTGATATCGAGATAGACCCTTATGCTTACACTTCCTGGTTTTAAACGCTTCTGTACGAAAGCACCATACCTAATTTTAGTGTGCAGTGATAACCAATTTGTGCAGTGATAAAAGTAAAATGTACAGTGATAAAATGTAAAATGTGCAGTGATAAAATTTGCTTTGATAAGTTGTTAATTAACACAAGAGAATGATTTAATTGAAAGTGAAATGATGACTGCCAAATTATCGAATTAAATAATAGTATATGTTTTTTGTACGAAAATCATGAGATTCAGGCAATTTTTAGTTAATATCTGCCTTTTGGTATGTCCGGAAAATTTTTTTGACCCTTAAAATGGTACACTGACCAAAATTTTTTTGGCGACGGGGGGGGGGGGTCGCCAATTCTTAGTCATTCGGAAATTTTTGGCATAAAATGTGCAGTGATAAAAAATTCTTAAAATTAGGTATGGAAAGCACCCTGATATGCAGGGCTGTGCACCACTGTAGCCAGCACCATGTATTAAATATACAAGCATACTTCAATGTTCTGTAGACATTTTTTGATCAATTTTATAAGTTGTTTTCACGTTCATTCCAAAACGTCGAAATTCTGCTCGTATATTTCAGCTAACTGTATCTCTCTAAGGATATGGTACACAGTTTACCCAACTTGTTCTACAACATTTCACAACTTTTGGAAATCAGTCAATTTATCCTGCATAATTTCTCTTACAAAATAACGCTTCATTAGTAAAGTATTTACACACACTAGCATGTAACAAACAGGAACGTAGCCAGGAGTCTGGGAGGGAGAAGAGCAAAGGGTTACACCCACAAAATTCATAAGCTATCTACATTTCCATTTGATCGACTCTTGCTTCATGAATGGCATTTGACTCGGTTAGAAAGTGGTATAAATTCACTTCGGATTTTTTTCACATTAGATCTCAATAATTGTTGGAAGTCATTGATGATCGGGATTTGGTCATGAATCGATTGTTGGGTTTCACCTTTGCATGGCTCTCTCAATACACCCCCCCCCCCTGACTACGTCCCTTGGAACATATTGCAGAGCTATCTCAGCATATCCTCAGTACTGCAAGAAATCTAGTTTTGTACAATTTGCAGGACCATTTGACTGATTACTGTCCGGGATTATATTGTCCTTGATTATGATATAATAGCATTTTTATAAATTATATGAGAATCAAAAATAGTTGCTATTGTCAACAATAATCACATACATAGTAACAACTGGGTTACCAAATCACCAAGGAACATTCCAAAGTAGTTTCGAACTGAGGATGATTAAAACGAGATCCAATGATTATACCAAATCAGCTTGGCTCAACCTGGAATAGACCTAACCAACTAACACATCTTTATGCCCGTCGCTGCCAAGTGCACTAAAACCTGGATTACACTATCAAAGTTTCGGTGATCACAGTAGGAATTTTGTAAATTCTATGTTTTGAAGGATTTGTAAGAAATGTTTGAGGGAATTGACTTTTTGTGTTTAATAATGAGTGAGTTCCCTCAAACATTTCTTACAAATCCTTCAAAACGTAGAATTTACCGATGCAAAATTCCTACTGTGATCACAGAATGTGATAAAGTAAACCAGGCACATACAACTCAAATGCTTGGTTATCTTTGTTCCATTCCTTTGCTTACATTATCATAACAATGGTAACAAGGATTGAGAGTTAATTGAAAATTGAGCACAAACATGGATTAGCTAATTAGGTCTATCTGTATGGTTGACATTCCTCAATTATTGTGCAGTTTCGGGAAATTGAGATCTAAGGATATGCTTGTTTGTACAGTACACATTCTCTCCCAAATTGGACCGATTTCCTTTGTTCTTGCCAATTCATTGCTTGCTGCAATTTCCTTCGCTTTTAACAGACGAAACAATTACTTTGACCGGTTTCTTTTGAAAATTTTTTATCCGTATAAGTAGATTTAAACCCAACTAACGTTTACGTTCGAGTAGATGACACAACTTTTAACGCTATCAAAAGTCAGGTACGCGAAGAGACAAAATGCAGGTTAGGGAGAGAATATGGTACTCACGCTCGGGACAATTTTTGCTAACTTAATATGCTATAATCTCTACAATCATAGTTTATATGGTTACACTTTTGAAGTGTTAGTGCAACTAAATACACCAAGCTTCTTTAAGGTTGGCGTACACTACCAAAGTTACTTTGATCAAAGTTCCGTCATTGCTCATGATTAAACTTTAAGGGTGGGGGAGGGGGCGTGAACCTTTAGTATCACACTATTTTTTCATACAAGTTTCAAACAATATAACAAGTTTCAGTTCAATAGTGTAAGTCTGACAAATTGTGTCACTACAGATCTCGGAAATAAGGTTGGACAGACATTTTTGTTGAATGTCGTGAGCCAGTTTTGAAGTCGGGATATTTCAGATATTTTTAATGAGGATTAATTTATTAAAGCCTTCATATCGTTTATTTTATAGCGCACACAGTAATGTGATGGTCAATCCAAATTAGGCCATATCCCAGGCTAGGCTTGCAGCGTAAACACGGCTAACGATGTTTACACTATCACACACATTGTTCACACTGCACTTTGGGCAAAGAAACTCTGATAGTGTACACCAACGTTTAGACTGCATTTATGTTACAGCTAAATACAGACCCTCGTTGTTATACTTACAACATGTATAACGAAATTCTTACCAACATTAACACATTGTTATGTATATACAGTCGTATTTTTACAGGTTCAAGCCTCTTTGCCAATCGCCTGTCACTCCAGATGTAGATCTTTAAATATGTACACGGCGAAATTTCATTTCATCTGGAACTGCCATATCACACTACATTGCACGGCGCTAATCACTTTTACGCACGAGTACCTTCGAAACCTCGAAGGATATTTCAAACATCGTGTTTATCCTGCAGGAAGGACCACGCATGTGAGAAAGGGCATGGAGATCATTTAGAAATGTTGGTCGCACAATGGGCAATGTATAAATAAAGAGTGCTTCTTGTTTTCTTCGGGTGCACACAACTTGCCAACAAGATGTGTTCGCAACAGGCTTGTAGCAAGCTTGTCAACAAGTTGTAACAATGTTGTTATTTTATCAAGTTGCTACAAGGTTGTCACTCACAACTTGTTGACAAATTGTTGAATTGCAAACGTTGTTGGAACAACTTGTCACAACTATGTTGAACTCGTTGTGAACAAGTCTGTTGGAACAAGTCGTTGTCAACAAGCTGGGAACAAGCAGTGCGAACACATCCTGTTGACAAGTTGTTGGAACAGCATTGCTACAAGTCTGCTGAAGGTTTTTTACAACTTGTGCGTTTTCACAGTACGTGTGTTCTCCGGTTTCCTTCTGCAGTAATACTGGACCAAAAAGGATCAGCATTAGAAAAGAACTTGTTGGATGAAAATTGAAAGATTCAAACTTACCTTCTTAGGAACAGGCTACGATTGTGCGTTTGTACTAGTCGTGACTGTAGCAGCCGTCGTCGTTGTCGTCTGTTGTTTGTTCTGCATTGCCTTCTTCTGAGCGATCTGAGCGTAACTTAGTTTCTCACTCAGTGAGGTTTCCTTGAAAATAAAGAAATATCATGTCATCTAGAAAGTTGAGGTATCGTTAAGCGATCTCGGCTTAGACACTAGAGAGGTTAAGATACCCCGGTTTTGGTGTACGGGTACGAGTAGTGTCATCTTGTTTTACTGATGTCTGTAATTCGATCATACTTTTTTCTGTTTTCTTGCAATAGACAATGATATAATGTGAAAAATGTGCACCTTAATTACGAGTAAAGGTACAGACATCGACGAAAATATTGCTAACCAAAATCATGCTACCCGTACGGCGTACACGTACACCGAAACCGGGGTATCTTATAACCTCTCTACTGTAAAGTTCTGGCACGCAACGTCTCACATGAAATGAAAGAATTTCCCAGCCTACCTTAGTTTTATCGAGAGGAGTTGTCTTTGGATTGTCCTTAATATTGTCTTTTGAGTTCACTTCAGGTTCACTGACTTTCTTTGTTGGTTCAGTCTTTCTCGTGTCCTCTTTCTTTGCTGGAGTTTCACTTGTTTCGTTCGTTGTTTTATCCTTGGTTTCTTCCTTGTCTGGTTTGGTCGTAGTTACCTTGACAGTACTACAAATGCAATGGTGTTCATTTTTAGAAAAGTCCAGCAACATATTATGCAATATATGTTTTCGCTTTGCTTACACTCAGGAAAAATTCCTGAGTGCATGCAAAAACAGGGTTTGAACTTATAAGGCCTTGTTGGAGTTGTTGGCAGTGGCGAACACTAGGGGGCGAGGAAGGTCAACCGTCTCCCAGTAAATTCTCCTCCCAATAAAAGCCTTTGAAATTCTAGCTGAATAATTGTACAGACAAAGCTGTAACAATAATTTTAACACCCCCATTTCACTCGTTGGTCTACAAGCCGCTCTATCACACGGAGCTAATCTAGCACTTCAGCAAATAAATTACGCTGTAATTTATATTTACTGTTGTATATCAATTTATTATTGCTTGTTATGTAGAATTATCGTAATTTTTCCATTGTCTTTACCTTGTTGGAGTGACCGGTGGCGATACTGGAGGAGATGACGCAACCTAAAAGAAAATATTCTCGTTGTCATTCCATTCAGATCTCATTTAAATGAAATAAAAATAATTCTATTAAGCCATTAAGTTGCATTGCACCCTACTTTAGTATACTACTCTATCTAACGCCAGACGATTTTACTCAGTGAGTTAACTTAGATTACTCGTCATCTTTACCGAGTTTATAAGATTCACTGTTTCAGTAAAACAAATCACCTTACCTTGTTGTAGTCTTGTCTAGTACTTGGAGATTGTAAGGGTAGATCGGATGTTTTCTAAAACAATTATGCGATATGCTGTTACCTTGTGCTTGAAATGATACTTTTAACTTAAAACAAAGTTGACCAATAATATTCAAGCTTCCTCCAAATAACGGTGCATACTTACAAATGTATTAGCTGAAGGTAGAGGTGGAAACTGTGCATTCGATAAGTTAAAGTGGCTATCATCCTTGCTGCGTTGAGGTTCTTGAGGTATAGGTGATCGCTAAAAATTGCAAAACTCAATATTAATCTCACTTCACAGAACATGTTGTAATATTATTGTCGATTTCAAGCCACTTTTCAACACGCGGTTCCCAAGTTTGTTGCAAACTTGCCAATTATGTTTCCAAGTTCAAAAATTTGGCGTGAACTTCGCAACAAAGTTCGCAAGTATATTTCAATGTTTGAATTATTGTAAACAAATGTATTTAATGTTCATAGTTCAAGTTGAAATTAACAATTCAATGGAAAAATCTTGGTCCAGTGGTCTACCAATCTTGGTCCAGTGGTCTATCAAGTGGTCTACCAAGGTTTGTATTTCATTGAATTGGTTATTATTATTGAGTATGAACATTTGTTTACAAACGAAGTTCAAACATTGAAATGAACTTGCGAACTTTGTTGCGAAGTTCGCGCCCAATTTCCGAACTTGGAAGCGTAATTGGCAAGTTCGCAACGAACTTGGGAACCGCGCGTTGTAAAGTGACTTGAAATCGACAATAATACACTATGTATGTCTTTTGGTTTTTAGCTATTTTCGACCACATACGGTGTATATGATTTTGGTACATATCAAGCTTATATCTCAGATTGAAGAACTTCTGAGCCCTAACAAGAATCTAACCATGTAACCATCTGGTAACGGACAGACGCTAACCTTCTGATAACGGGACAGACACTCTAACTATTGAGCTACAAGGTGCATATATAGTATTAAACAGGGTGCGATAATTCGCGTACTTACGTACCGGAGGTACGCCAATATTACGGTCTGGTACTTCTTTGTTTTCAGTCACGTACCACGTAGGTACGCGGAACTCTTGCTATCTGCGCACTTTTTGCTGGTATCACATGACCTTTCCAAGCCCAAGGTATTCAATATCGTAATTTAGTTGGTATATCATGTGTCTGAGATGTCTTGGCATGAAACATGATTGCACTGATGGCACTAAGAAACGTTGGAGTTGGTTGTTTGAAATAGCAAAACTCCGTTTTTAAATAGCAAAACACCCTTTTCAAATAGCAAAACACCCTTTTCAAATAGCAAAACTCCTTTTTCAAATAGCAAAACTCCCGTTTCAAATAGCAAAACTCCCTTTTCAAATAGCAAAACTCCCGTTTCAAATAGCAAAACTCGCTTTTCAAATGACAAAATTCCCTTTTCAAATGGCAAAACTCCCTTTTCAAATGGCAAAACTCCCTTTTCAAATAGCAAAACACCCTTTTCAAATAGCAAAACTCCCTTTTCAAATAGCAAAACACCCTTTTCAAATAGCAAAACTCCCTTTTCAACTAGCAAAACACCCTTTTCAAATAGCAAAACTCCGTTTGTTACCTCGTAGTCTGAACATACTTTTCAGAGACCTGTACTTTACGAACCTTATTTTAAAGACTAAGTACACATTGAGTACTGAGTTTGTTCTAGCGCAAGTACAGTACGCGGCAACAACCATTGGCATACCAGTCAGGTACGACTAGAAATCTTGAATGATCGCACGTTGGTATTATATACCGATACTTTTTTGCTGCATTTATTTTTCCCAAAAACTATGAGTGAAATACGTACACTTGTACGGATATCTTCACTACTTCCTCTTCTCCTCCGTACTCTTGACCCAGGTCTAACAAAAAAAATCAAATGTAGTTTGTCAACTTTCTTTTTCTAATTAATAGCAAAGTAAAGTAACACAGGTTACTGTTTGCTATATTATTGCAAATGTAAATAAGTGCGTCTTTGAAAAAAATTGCTCACTGTCCATGTAGAATCACTCGAGTTTTGATGCTTCGGAATTCTCTGATGCAAGAACGCGAGTTCAAGTTTGGAAACAGTTTGAAATACAAATAGAACACGCCGTGTTCTGGAGGCATTCGCGGACGCTTTGGAAAGGCAAATGCAGTTTTAGGTAATTTACGAGCAATACTGTACTGTACCTATAATCCTCTTCATTTCTCCTCCAGTTCGTAAAACTACTTGAAGTGGTGTTAGATGGTGATTTACTAGGCACACTGTTTGTAGTGGTGGTACTACTGTTGGTTGTGTTTGTCGTACCATTCGTACTGTGTGCACGGGGTCGATGGGGTAACGTATCTTTTTCTACGCGATCTGACGGATCTCGATAACTTCGTGTTTGATTTCTGCAACGAACACATGAGAGGAAAAAATTAGGAAACGCTTGTTTTGCAACAGCAACTTTCTAACAAGGTTATTTTTTGTAAAAATTCCCTTACCTGTTTCGATTATTTTGGTAATACGGCCTGTTTCCTTGATGGTCTGGAAGATAATGGATAGTTGCTAGCTTTAAAAACTGTTAATTTGCATAATTGTATGGGAGATTCACATCTGAGGTTCATGGGTGTGCCAGTCACATAACATTTTACAGTCATTCAAGGCAGGATTTGGGTGGAAATAGTGGGGGAGGTGGAAAAAAATTTAGGCAAGGTGCAGCAGTCTAGCTGATGACCCCCATGGAAAGTTAGGACTTAGAAGAAAAACTTTCTTACAAAATTTCTAAGCAACCAAAAATATCAAATTTTCACTTTGATTTATCATTGAATTGATTGAAACTTTCCCAAAGGGAGGTTCGAAAATTCTCAGGGGATGTCCGGCCATGCAGTCACAGGGTTCGTAGTCTCCAAGACCAAAAAAAATCAAAGACTTTCAAAGATTTTTTCTGCCTATTTTCAAAGACTTTTCAAAGACCTTTGAGAGCAATCAGCTGTCGAAAAATTGCAAGTGTAAGCACCATTTTTACCTGGTAATTAGTCCCGCCACATCCCATCCTAAAATGCGCATTTTCGTCGATATTTGCGAAAATCTTGATTCAATCAATCTATTTTATTACCTAGGAAATCGTATAATCAATTCCTCACTAAATAATTTAAAGACTTTTAAAGACTTTCTTCGCTTTTTCACACAATTTAAAGACTTTTCAAAGACCTCAAAGACCTGCATTCCAATTTAAAGACTTTCAAGGATTTCAAAGACCGCTACGAACCCTGAGTCACTGTCATCAAACACAAAACCACACCCAAAATTGATATAGTATGTATAGTTCAGAATACACGTTTCTGGAAAGTATGTCATCTTGGCTATAGAGCCTCGTTTCCATGATTGAGATATTGGGCTTTGATTAATGACACATACACATGAATCCAAGGATCTATAGCCAAATTGACATGCTTTCTGGAAAGTATTATATTAGATACTTACTATTGCCCTTATTGAAGTTATGAGAATGATATGCATTGTTTGCAAGAGTTGGAATCTAATGAGAAGAGACATAATAAACACACTTACTAATGCTTACAGCATTAATTTACGAAAACTATTGTAAGCAAACAAAATGTCATACCAGTGTGGGATCAAAGTAGTGCTGACCAGCAGCCCATTGTGTCATAACACCTGGCTGGAAAAAGGAATAACCCTATAGAAATAAATCAAATGAGAGTTATATTAATGCTAAAAATTACTGTCGATAATTTCATTTTTGGTGGCAATTGAAAGTTTGCTGTAAAAAATTGGGAGGGCAGCATTACTGTATTCTAACCAGCAAACCTGATGTACCTGGTGATTTCCATAAATTGGTGAAACAGGATATCGAAATGCAGGTGATGAAATTGGTGGGATTGTTGGAGGTTCATTGGTCTACATGAAAAAAACAGGGTGGAAAAACAAATAATTATGGTGTACTGTGAATACAGACATGTATAACAAAATAACAGTTTATAATGTTTCAATCAATAGATTAAATTCTTAGTGATTGAAAGCGGAACTTGAGAACCAGGGAAAGTGAAGTAAACTCAAAATGATTGCATTTTACCTGTCTCATGCCATTTTTCTGTATAAAGTTTGAGCCAGCTCTTGGTATTGGCTTGGCTTTTATTCTTGCCTGGGAAGTTAACAAAAGGTTTATAATACCTGGGCAGTTCTTATCTAATTAAGTTTGGGTTTTCCTTATCGCCATACAAATTTACAAAGCACTTATTGTAAAAGTTAATCAAACAATAATCATTACCATAATTGGCTTTCCCTTGAAGGTCTTAATATCCTCTCGAAGATAGCGATATGCCTAGAACGTTTAATAACAAGTTAAAAATAACACTTACAAGAACAAACGATTTACATACCAGGGCGCAAAGTAGAGAAAAAATATGGCCTGCCAGTCTAAGAATTTTTGGCAAGTGAAATAAATTTTAGTCTGCATTTTTATTCATTGAACTACCAAAATGGCAATGTCACATACAGTATGAGTCATATTGTAAAAATCAATGTTTTCATGGTATGCATTTTTATTGTTTTTAAACTTGTCTATTTTACTACAGTAAACTTGGATGTACATTTCAAATATAAATGTATTTTGTCAACTAATTATGGTAAATGAAATTAAATATATCTACTGCCATTTTTTTTACTTTGGCAATTCAAATTTGTTTTTGTCTGCCATTTCTAAAATATGGCCTGCTTTTGCCCGTTGGCAGCCCGCCATTTCGAGCCCGGTTACATACTGTCATTGAATCAATGGTTTACACACCTTTTGAGCACAATCTTCAGATTCAAACTGAATGTACCAATAATTGTTGTGAGCTGGCTCACAGCTGATGTATTTTGGACAACCTTCTCCACTAAATAATTCTTCTACTTCCTGCAAATTAAATATGATGCAAAATTTTGTATTAAATAAAAGGCAGTCTGTAGTTGTGCATGCAACTAACCACAAATACAGGGATGGATTTACTGGGGGGGGGGGAGGTGCACCTCCTCCCCTCCCAAGGGGGTGCAGGGGAGGGTGCTATTTTTATGATAAAGCAAAAAAGACAAAATGAGATACAGTAATTTGAGTAATAACACAATAAGTGAACTGTGAACAACAATTACAATTCAAATACAGTAGTTGATGTGCAGCACACATGACCGACACAACTCAGCAGTTGGCACCAGAGCACCCCCCTACCAGATCATGCCTGCACAAATATCATTTTTGGCATGTGTAATATTTGGGTCATTCGAAGAAATGTAATATATCTTTATAATAAAAAATCCCTTCTTGATCAACTTTTTCACTGTCAAAGTTTTCGGATATGATGTCATTAGGTGAATTGCAAATTAGTTTTCCTTTGTTTTTTGTACCAAAAATTGACCTAATGTCATCATATCCGGAAACTTTGACAGTGAAAAAGTTGATCAAGAAGGGATTCTTTATTTCTTCTTCGAATGACCCAAATATTACACAAACCAAAAATCATATTTGTGGTTAATCGCACTTTAACAATTGCATAATCATGTTACTACCTCATTTGGTCATATTTTTTTTAAATTTTCTTTCCCCATCCAAAAATGGATTTGATAAGCACCCCCCTGTCCAAGGCTAGGAGTGGTGTACACCCCCCCCCCCTGCATCAAAGTGTGAACAGTGTCAAATAAAAAAATTATGTACTCTCATGTAAAATTTCAATGTTTGTGACAGCCATTTCAAGTTATTTTTTATAAATGTAAGCTCTGCTATACCTCCACAGAAGTGGATTCTGGAACTTCGCGTAAAATGACTATACACCGTTTCATGTTAGGCCGCATCTTTGTGAGAGATTCATCCATCTGTAGGTATGCTGACTCTTTTATGGCTTCTTTAACAAGTTCAATATCATTCGTAAGTTTCTTCATCTAAATAAAGTAACAATATAAACATGAGTTCATTCAACAAGATAAGCTTAGACAGCAACAATACCAAAAAAACAACAGAACAACTGAAACATTCAACAGCAATATCAATGTTGGGTTCCAGTCCAAAATACTAAATTCATTAAAAAACATTATTTTAATTGTTTCAACTACAATAACATTTTCCTTCATATTAAAGTTTACTTAATTCAACATACCTGATTAAAATTGGCCACAATTTGAATCAAGACATATTGATCACTGTCCATCTGAGAAACTATATCATAACACAAGAAAACAACAAATTATAGTTTAACCCATCAAGTTACATTGGGCAGTAATGCACCATACTTTATTATTTTACCGTCTAATGCCAGATGATTTTACTCGTCAAGGAGAGAGCGCTGGTGCTCAATGGATTAACCACGCGTATGTGTCTAGTTAACCCATTAAATTGCACTGTACCGCAATGTGCCTTGTATCAAAAGTAGATATACAGTTTGGACACCTCAAATCGTGTTTGTTACTTGAGCAAAATATCTGGGGAGTAAAATACGATATGGAATACAACTCACCTAAGTAAGTGTCACCAGCTAAATTTTCTCTATAAAAAATCAAATAAGTCGAAACTCATTATTATTAATTTAATTAGATAAAATTATTACAATACATAACTCTGGTAGAATAAAAGGGTTCGAATTAATTCTGAAAAAATGGTTCGTGAATCGATTTTTTATCTTAAGGAAATTTTAAGGAATTTTCTTGGAATTTTCACTAATTGGAAGTTAAAACTTAAAAAGTAGAAGCAGTGCAATTTTCAAATATATACATCGCAAACTCGCAAAGAAATAAAATTTTGGGTGGAATTATAATAGTTTTTAAGTACAATCTAACAACAATACCTTCAAAATATATGGCCCTTCATCACATTTACAAAGAACTGAATTTATTACTGTATATTTTTATCAATTTGAGAGACATTTGATTCGTGACTTTGATCAATTTTTATGAAATTGCGTTCATGAAAACTCAAAATTGATTCATGATTCACGAATCACAAGCTGTTATTTCGAACCCCGAAACTTGATCCAATCGGGTGTAACACATTTTGAAACTCGCTGTGATATTGCCCTTTTATGAGTAAGATTTATACAGCTGCCTGTTGTTTACAGATTATTATAAATTATAATTAGATTCATTCCCTTACTGAATGAAGTACAAACCTTGAGAAATAGTATTCTAGCTGCTGTCGGACAAGTGTCCTTAGTTCGTCTTTAGACAGTTCATCCGGTTTTATATGTTCAGGGATATTTTGCCTAGCACCAGCGCGTGGCTCAACAAACACACTAGGCTCACCACCATTCACTATAACACCACCGTCGCCGCCAGGTGTGGGTAGCGGAGAAGGCATCTGTTCCTTTGGCTCCTGATCACGCTGTGTTTCTGGCTTTTTAAGCGAGTCTTTGCTCACTGATCTAAAGGAAAAGTATTAAAGTAACATTGGATATCTATTTCGCTAAGAAACTGTGGCCATCGGCAACACTGACCAGGGCATCTTACTACTTCAAGTATTGCATGAATTTAATGTTAAACAGAGATCTCTGTAAAAAGATTTCTAAGTCTATCGGCATAATTTATCGAGCTCGTTTTTACTTGTTAGCTAGTACTAAATTGTCATTGTACTATACGTTAATCTACCCATACCTTACCTATTGTAACACTGCTTGGTCCTCCACCTATGTTTCCAATTTAAGTCGCATATTTCTATTACAGAAACGAATTGTCAGAGTACTGACCAATTCTAATTACCGGGCGCATACTGCTCCACTATTTAGTAAATTAAAAATACTCAATATATATCAGCTTAATTCCTTCCATATTGGTAAATTTATGTTTTCTTACCACAATCAGCTATTACCACCTTCTTTTCTCAATCTGTTTATTACCAACAATGAAATCCATGATTACAACACCAGAAATGCGAGTTCATACCGAGCTCATGCATGTAGAACAAATGTAATGCAGTTTACCATCCTATTTCAAGGACCCAAATTGTGGAATTCTCTCCCAGAGTCCGTCAAAAGTGCACAGACTATCAATTGCTTCAGGAATAGAATTTTGAAATACTTGCTAGATGTCTAATTACGTTTTTCTTGACCTCTCCTAACTAATCATTTTTCTGATCTATATTTTCTGTTACTACTGCTCCAAGGAGACATCCTATTTACAAGCCCTATGGTTTCCGGATGCCTCCTTGCCACCGATATCTATTTTATGGTGTATACATATTGACTATTTAAAATTAACTATATTATTATCATAAAATAACTTGTACATAACTGATATCTGTGGCAAATTAAAATTATCTCTTATCTCTTATCTCTTGTTGGAGAACAAATGCATGTTATAACTTCTTGTTATGTAACTCTTTGATTCAACCTTAGATTTACTGTTATTAAATATATAAAGGAACAAATACAGTCTTTTGAATGAAGTTAAAAGGTTAATGAGCAAGATCATTTTACCAAGTTGAATATAAATTTTATGTTTTAACAGAACCTACCCAGTCTCAAAGACAGCTGCATCAGGATTGAGGTGACCTTTCTGGTCCTCAGATGATGGTGGTGACTAAATAAGTATAACAAAACTTGTAACGTTGTACCACATTGCAATGCACACAGAATAATATAAAATGTTCTGTAAAGTACATAACAATCATTCAATCTGACAGGTAAAACACTTCTCAACTTTCGAGTGATGGCCCTTATTAGGGTTTTTGGACCTTGCTAATTAGAGAGGAAAATTTTAATGGATGTTTGAAGGAGACTTCATAATATGTGGAAACACTACAGAGCATTCCCTCACAAATGTGTACTTCTTTCAGGATTTGAATTAACAGATAGCGAATCGCGATTCGCTATCCGTTTTGTGGATTTCACTACTCATTTTGCTATATAGTAATATAAAAAAAAAATACTATTCAACCTGAGAAGATTTCATATGTGAAAAAGTAAAATGGATAACATTGCCATTGGAAATGTTTGTTTTCAAATAATTCTTTGAAATGATATTTCTGCGCTGATATTTCTGAATAGGCAGTAGAATTCTGTTGCATTTCCTAATGGATAATTTTAGCATATCAAAAATTTTTGGTATACGAAAAAAAAAATTCTGCTATTATCAGAAATTCCGTGGAATTTGTATGGCTGAAAAATGTACACCAATATTGCATTCAATGTCGATATTTTCAATTGGTACACAAAACAGGCCTACTTCATACTAAGTGACTGTCATATACCTTACAGAACGTGTTATATAATGTGTTAAATACTATGACACTTTCAATAACTACTCATGTAACACCTCCACACTAAATTTAACAGTCCCACAAACAAGTCTCTCTGTCAAGGCTAGCCCAGAAACATATACAGTAAATTGCTGGTTATTGCCTGTAGATTCAAGTAATTTTGCCCTAGACTTTTAGAAAACAGTGTTTTGTCCACTAATAATATGTTGCAATGTACAAAATCTATAACTGATTGTGAATTTTTTTTAAGAATAACATAGCTATTATAATTGATCAATATGCATCGTCACATCATTGAAATGGGTATAATTTCAGCTGATTTAAAATGAACCAGGGTTCGAAATAACGGCCGATCAACGATCAATGATCGGCAGGAAATTGCTTTTGATCGGCAGAGAAGCAAGATTATCGATCATCTTGATCGGCAAGAACCATCGTCTCAAAAACATGGTTAATATTGTTAACAGACACCATGCAATACTATGGTATTATCACAGAACATATAAACACAACATATCCTATACCGATTGGCCAGATTTTCATTTGATCAGCAGAAAATCATGACTGCTTATCAGCATGATCGGGAACGTTGGAAACGTTATTTCGAGCCCTGATAAACAAATTGATAAATAGGTGGAAAAATTTGGGCAATATTATGCAAGTCTACATAGTTTCCTAGAAAATGATATTGTGAAAACATGTCTTCTGGGTAAAGTGTTTAAAAAAAACAAAAAACATACAATACACAGACATTTAAACGTGACTATGTCTGGTCATGCATAATTTGATGATTCACAGTCCTGATTTACAGACTAAATGGACATTTGGTCTTGCTAAAATTAATGGTGTATGTGTCTACTTAGCCTAATGCCAGACAATTTTACTTGTGATTAACAGATTAGACACAAGCAACATTATTATGGCTCAGGTGTCCACCAAAATAGGTGGGGGGGGGGGGAGTAACCGGTCCTGGGAAGGGCAGGGGGGGACTCTTTTACATCATCATGAGAGTAATATAAATCTTTTCTGAAGCAACCTCTTTCTAAAATTTAACAAATCAATCCCACATTCAGATTTAATATAAACCCCCAATTAAAAATAATGAGGCAAGCTTTCAGGGAAAAGATTTTGCAATTTTGTATCGTATCAGCTCATCGCTTAAGAAATACTGAACATCCCTCGAAACTTGCATCCAGAAATGTAGAGGTTTTAATCAATTTCACTTTATAACAATGAAAATTGTGGCTATTCGATTATAACTTTGGCAGTGTCTTACTGTAATAATGATAGCCTGCCATCTGATATACTAAGTAATATAACAGAAGGGCCAACATACAATACAAAGGAACAAATAATATTCACTAGTTTAAACCACAAATTGATGCTATTTCACGCCTGAGTGACATCTTTTAAAGTAAGTAAGTCGAATTTCTCGAAGTGCTGACTCATTTTGGCCGAGCTTTTCGGCGTAGGACACTTTTGGTCATACGATCAGAGGATCAATCAATTTGTGGCCTCGAAATTTTAAATTAAACATTGTCTATTTTCGCAGACATTTAGCGCATCAAAAACGATGACACGGCAGCTGGAATACTGAATAAAAGATAAACTTAGAGCTCGTATTTCCAATTTTTCCTGACAGGGAACGGTAATGTAAACGAAATGGGAAAAATTCGATGGCTGATAACTTCGAGGGGTCAATAAACATGGCCGCCATACGTTTTAACACGTACGGACTGACTTCCCACGCACAGTGTTATTTTTAAAAGTTCTTCTAACCACCGTACTCTTCGTAAAAGAACGTAGCCTTCGTTCGTTTTCGCTTTGCCACTATCCGAAAGACGTTAAAACGAACTCAGACATAACTACAGGAAACAGTTTGGAAACAACCCCACCTTTTTTGAAATTGTGATATCCACTTCAGTAGCAGAGCTTGTCGTGGCCGAACTCATGCGGCTCCGTACAATATCTGAGTAACGTCTATCCCACCAGTACTTCTTATAGAAGGGAAGTTTGTGTAACCGAGCAAGGATTTACTTAATACACACGAGTTATGATGATACCAGACACCGACAATATGTCCAAGACAAAACGCAGACAAGTTGATATATCCACAAATCCAGTTGGTGTTTCACAAACGAAACGAGGACGATGTGCCTCCCGTTTTGGGCTTCAAGTTTGCTTCACAAGGCGGCTGGCAGTCTCTGCTAGTGTTCTTCAACAAGGCTGAAGTATTTCGAGAGTTTTCCTGAGGAAAACGGACCAAATGCAGCTGCTGTTTCACTTCCTACACCGCCAACACACGTGGCAACAGGACGGTTTAAACACGGCTACCGATACGAAACTTCGACTTATATCTCACCAGTTCCTGTCTAAAACACCTCCCCTGATACGACACCAATAGATACGAAGATGAACACAATAAATTCCAAGCGAAACTCGAGAGAAAAACGATCAAGTTTCGACGAAGTAAATTGTGCAAGAAATGCAACAAAGCCAAGCGATTGACTGTACAGCCTCTTATCTCGCCTGCAGCTTGCCCACCACCTGATCATACAGGTTACCCAAGTCACAAATCCGAGAACCTTGCTGAGGAGGAAATGAGTCTATTGCATCACAACCGATATAGGCCTTATTACCACTGGTATTAACCGGTATTCGTGTTGGCACAATTTTTTTCTTTCAATTCATTCTTGTAACTTCATCGTTTAGTCTTACCATATCCTTTAGCCTCTCACAACTTTTACAATAATAGTTTATTGCATTCCTTTATCTCATTAGTATTCCGTCCTCTTCAAACATGTCATAATTGTCTTACTGTGTTAAATATAATTCGCATGTTGAGAACTAACAGGTTGAAGATTGAAAATCTTTGTAAGTACATTGAAAACCCGCACAGACACAGAAGCCGTCATAGGACAGCAATTCCTATCATCTCTGATTAGAAGAGTATATGAGATATATTTAAGTCTATTACTTGTATTCGACAGTTCAATCGAATTTTATAAATTTTAGACGGGCAATTATTTTTAATACTATATAATGGAAAGGATGGTGTATAAAGCAATTGTGAGTTTAATTAAGGGAAAATACGTCAATGTCCGGCGGTTATATTAACACTACATGAGATTGGATGAAAATTTGATGATGTCAAAAATTAAGTCTGATAGATCAGACATTTTAAATATTCTTTAGTCAAATAAGTGGTGGGCGTGTGCACTTCGTGTTATCAGAGTATCAGGCTATCAGCGATGATGCCAAAATGCTAAATGAAAACGAAACTTAGGATATTTTTAGGCGATGTGGGCCCAAAATTTCTAAATTAAAATACTAATAAACATGGTCCTTTACCCCCATGGAGTCACTAAGTGTTTTCATAATGAAGTCAATTTAAATATCAGCTAAAATTAAAGCCAAAATTCAAGATTTGTAAGAGGCCAGTTTCAAATTGCTATCTTGTTGTTTGTCAGCTATTAAGATATTCAGTTGTCAGTCAACAAAAATGGGCAAAATGAAATGTCAATTTTAGACTTTATTTATCTCAATGACATTTTCAGGGTTCTGGATCATTTTCATTACTTTGTGAAGAGTTTATTCTCTTTGATTTTTATACATTTTTAGATCTGACTGGTCTCCATGTGATAAAATAAGAACCTGAAATACTAGCCTAAACAGATTGGGTGTCTAAATACTGAAAAATTAGCCTGACAGGCCCTCATATACAGTAGGTTCTTATATGCAAGCTTTACTTACAATTAGGGTGGAAAATATACTAGTAATTATTAGTTGAGTTTGTTTACATCATATAAGTATTTGTGATCAAAATCTTTTATAAACTAAATGTCTTAGGGGTGTTTATATGGAGGCAAGCCAGCCCGGTTACCTGAGATAGGTGGCTTTGCTAATTTCATCATGTAGCAGGCTGGCACCAAAACAAATCATTGCGAGAAACTGTCATGGTTATGACCGTCACAACTGTTCACAGAGGTATTAATTTTTAAAACTATAGATTAAAAATCTGTTGAGAAAGTCTTATTTACTACAATTAGTAATTGGCAATATATTCGTATTCAGCGGCTTAGGCAAACCAGCCAACGTAGGCGAGATCTGGGGGCTCTGTCGGGCTCTGATCTGGGGCTCTGTCATTAAACAAGATCTCGCTTAGGCAAGCCAGCCTGGTTCTCATATACACACAATACGAATATTAGTATAAATTATCTAGCAACATTAGATCTCGGCCAAGTAAGCTAGCTCAGGCACCCGAGCTGGCTTGCCTCCATATAAACACCCCATTAGGTCAAGTACTGTAACTTCAGAGCAACTAAAAGGCATTTAAACTGTTAAGTGTTTTGATCAAATTAAAATCTACTTAGTAACTTTACAAGTTGTCCATGAGCAGACAGTCAAAGACAGTAATTAACGCACTGCTACAGCCAAGTAGATTATCACTCTGACAAGTGACAATAACACGTCTATATAAACAGTCATCCAAAAGTCCAAATTGTTCATTATTTTTTCATCGACAACTCACTACTCACGAGTATCATATCTTTAGGCCTTTATAATTATATTATGGGTTTCAGTTTGTAAATAAAATAGATAAACCGTTCGTATATATTAACGATAGTGAAATAGTGTAATATAGAAAATTTTATAGTCATTAAAACCTCGATTGATGGGCTTTAAAACAAGTGATTTCTCTGAAGGATCAACATTGCAGCTATGTTGGGAGCAATCTCCAATCCTTCTTGGATTCGTTTCTTGACAACCTTTGGTAGAAGCTTGAGGATGCAGGTATATCATGGCCATTCATGGGCAGACGCAGAAATGGATGCGCTCTCCATCGAGGAAAACAATATAATAGATACACTTTGATACACTTTCGAAGCATCCCTGTTAGCGTAGTATCCTTTCCTACTCGTCATGTTGCCTCAATAACTCGTTATTTGACGGACTGTCGCTCAAAAAAGCTCAAAATATTTTGGAAACTTCTTGCTCCTTGGGCATTAAATTCACTTGCGTTATAAAAACAACGCGCGTGTTATTGCCAGAAATGAGACTGGACCGAGCACAAACAGAGGATGACAACTTCCTGTGTGTCCCCACATAAACAAAAGTCTAGCACATGCGCAGATGCGACTGTAACCTACCTTTAATTAAACGAAAAATAAAAAAATGAGAAATTTTTCTTGAGTTTTATGTAAAGATTGTACAATGTATCAGCAAAAACAAACAAATTATTAATTATCAAGACTTTGATATAAAACAATATAAATAACCGATATAATCGATATAATACTTTTTAAAACTGTGCTAGCTCCCAGTCGATTGGCTCCCAGTCACAGAATAGTCCCAGTCTTCCAAAAATCAAAATGTCACTCGCAACATGGCGGACGAAGGTACTGATAATATTTGGAAAAGGAAATTTCTGACGCTTGAAAGTCGCGTGAAACTTGTTGAATTGGTTAGTTTGCAGTCGCTTTTTGTTTTTTCATGTTCTGTTCTTTGTTAAAACCCGTTTAGTTTCCAGCATAATGGAAAAAAGCATGAAGATTTTGCCTCATAAAATGAGAAATATGTTGTTTTGAATTGTGCAGGAAAATCAAAAAATTGTGAACAGAATTTATCATGTACGAAAGCATTTGAAGAGATCTAGACGGGAGAGAAGGTTTGTTGTTTTTCTTTGCTCTGAGCAATGCGTGAATTATGTATTGAATACCATGACAAAATGAATATTTTTAAAAATATGTTGGGTATGCCTTGCTTGACATTTTCAAGTCTCTGGGTCCATGAGTGGCTCTCAGAGTGTGTTTTCTGTTGTGCATGTGGAAGATTGCATTTTTTATTTCAAAAGCTAGATCATAGGATCTTGCAAAAAATACAGTCTGAAGTGGAGCATTTTCATCCAATTTATTCTTCAATCATTGATTCTACCTTTTTGTGGAACAAGTTCCCTTCCTAAAACTAGCCTGCATGGCAGGCGGTATTTCTACGGGCAGCGAAAATTAGGGAAGCAAAGGAAATACCGTCTGCCGCAAAACTAGGGGTTTTTGAATTACCCGTCCGCTGGTGAACGGGAAAAACGGATTGGTTAGTATTTTTATGTAGTTGTCAATCAACGGCTAAATTCGGTTAAATGTTAATCATTAACCAAATGTTTTGACGTTTTGAAACTCTGCGTTTTGAAATTAGTTCACGTCAAGTCAGACCAGAAATGGAATAACATAATAAAAGAAGCAAATTAAAAGATACAAGCTGAAAAATAACACTCTAAATAGTGTTATTGATAGAGATTCGAACAAGAATATTTAACAAAGAAGATACGTCCGAAGGGGCCGAAGTTATGATCGGCGAAAGGTATGGGCTAGTCTATATTTTTGTTCAGACAATTACATGCGTATTAATTTGATAATATACTATCTCGCTTGACTTTCAAAGGCCATAAATCGCAATAATGTTGACATTTTACTAAAACTATCGATAGAAATTAGGAGATATTTCTTCACTGAATCGAACATTCGAACAGTGGGATTTCCATGTAGGCCTATCAGTCATGTTCTGAACCAAAGATACTTGATAGATATTATATACGAACCTCCAAAGTATAAACAAGGGGCCGGTTGATGCAGTAATTATCAAATAACAGTTAAACTCTTATATACCCGTTGAATATGTATAGTTGTAAACAAATAAAAACTATCGTTCTATAAGGTTCAATACTTTTAGTTTGGTTGTTGACTGATGATGAATCTATGGATAGTATATACTTGCATGCTTTGTATTTTGAGCTTATTAAACCACCGTTTTAAGGCAGCTAAACGGCTAAACGGGCTTGGTTTATATTAACACATAAAATAAATTCCTTAATTCTCATCACTAGACACAGTCTACACTTTGAAATGTCGAAGACAGTGGGAGATTTATTTTTTATATTTTATATTTATATAATTTATATATCAATAGTTCGTATCTCCACGAACAATGACAGAAGACTGAGTTTCTTTAAAATAGAATGAAATTTCACTCAAAATTCTGTTTGTTTCAAATTGGAAGTTTAAAATGGCAATTAAAACTCTATATAAAATATGAAAAAAATTAACTGTCTTGAATTATTTTGTCGGGCGGTACATTTATATTGTATAACGAAAAATAAAACGTTTTCACGAGGATTTTAAAATTCAGTCGGGCGGTGATGAGAATCAAGGAATTTATTTTGGCAGCGTTTACACTGTACCGTTTTCGTAGCGTTCTCGTATTGTTCTTAATCCTCAAGGGAACGCAAGACAATAGTCTATAGTTCTCTCGAACAATACGAGAACGCTACGAAAACGGTACAGTGTAAACGCTGCCTATATGTTGGGCAGTTGGGACTTGGGAGCAGCTTGGGCATTTTGAATATTTACTTAATTAATGCATCTATAAATAGCGTGATGCTTCAGGGGCGGTAGTTCATTTACACCCAGTTTTGCGGCAGGCGGTATTTCCTACGTACCGCCTGCCATGCAGGCTATCCTAAAACTAGAATTTAGATTTTTGTTCATGTTTTTAATCCTTAGCTATCTAGTGAAGAAGTGTGGAGAAAATGGTATTGACTATGAAAAAGGACAACCACAGTATATGGTATAAAACCAGTATTTTTTTTATTAACACTTACTAGAAAGCTGTGGATTGATATGCAGGGGTGGAAAAAGTAGACGAGCACTGCTCACAGGAAATGTTAAACAGCTGCAGGAAATTCGTTTGAATGAAGATTTGCTATTGAAAATTTGAAGGAAACCTTAACACCCATGTCCCACTATATGGGCGCAACAACATATGGTTGACAAACATATTTATTCCTTGAATTTAAAACCATGGTCAGCTAGAACACTATATGTTTATACACATGCAGATTTAGCACAAAAATACTCCGTTAGTCTACAGGAAATGTTTGTCTCCAGGTTGTGCTCCCAGGAAAAAAATCTTTTTTCCTGCCCTGAAAAATACTACCACCTGAAATATACAAAACATCAATATTTCAAGCAAAGACTCTTTGTCTCAGTGAAGGGCCTTGTCTCACTTCTCAGTGAAATGTTCGAGTTTCTAACACTTAACTATTCTACTATCTCAGGCCCAAATGCTTGCAGATATCAATGCTGCTTATGAAGACACTCGCTCGCAGTTCAAGAAATCTGCTGGTCTGACAAAGAAAGGCAAGGGTCGAGCACGTCACAAGTTAGATCCAGATGCGCCAAAGAAACCAGCGAATGCATTTTTTATGTACTGTCAACAACAACGAAACTCAATGCACGGTGAGCCGAAGGAATCCACTGTCGGCCATCACGAGTTGACAAAACATCTTGCGAAGGAATGGAAGACTTTGGGAGCTGAGAGACAGAAGGTCAGAGCCAGTTCTAGCCTCATCTGCAAGGCAGGGTGCAGGTTTTCCATGGGGTGGTGCATGAGGGAGCCTTACCGCCCACTCTCCTCTGCAACACTGCTATCCCAACATTACCATTGAGATAGCCGAATCTGCATGTTCGTCTTTTTGTTACGTTTTACATTATCTTTTGTTTATAAAGTTTATATCAGCTTTTTATCACATATGTGTGACTGGACAGTTGCTGTAGCACAGTACAGTAAATTTTCTTGTTAAAATATAGTATATTTTAAAATATGGCTGTATAACAACCTCGACATGTTTACATATTTAACCATGATATTTAACTAAAGCATTCTGAGTATTTTCTTGTGAGCTTACAGTCTACAGATCAATTAAATTGTTTCAAGAAATCGACATGCACTGCATGCGTAAAACGCTGAGCCTTCTGTTTAACAGGACTGAACATGTTGCTGCCCATGTTGTTCACACTTGTCAACAATATTGAACAATATTGTTGAGCCTGAATTGGGTGTAACAATATTGTTCAATGTTGTTGACAACTATGAACAATGTGGGCAGCAAAACATTGTTCAATCCTGTTTTCAACAACCTGATGCCATGTAATAGTAGCAGGCTGTTAATCACTATTCAAAAAGCAGCAAATGTACATATGGTGAAGCAGTTATTTTAGGGTGATGCTGTACTTCTCTATGGGGGCTAGACACCACTAGGGGGTACGCACTCCCCCCCGCCCCCACGGTAGGTCCGCCTCTGTTTGAAATTGTTAAATATTTAGTATTTTCAATGTGGTACTTATTTGAGGGTATTATTAATTCTTGCAGGTTTACTACAAGATGTATGAAAAAGACAAAGCTCGCTACGAAAAAGAAATGAAACAATATGCAAAAGAAAAGCTTCCTAAAGAACCAACAAAACTTCTCAAAATGAAAAAACCAAAGAGCAAGAAAACACCAAAAGCGACGGAACATCATACAAAAAGCTCCCCAGATCAAGTAGATTCAGCACAAACATCAACAGCAATGGACACAGGTTCTCTGGTGACTGAGTCACCAACATCGCAGTTTAATCTTTTAAACAATCTACCCTTTGCCAACCTACCTTCACCAATGGTAGATATTGGCGGAGATAATGACGACGATTCCTTTCATAGTTTCGGTTATAACACTGTGTAGGAAAAAGTCTAACTAAAAACCTAACCTCAAAAAGACTAATAATACTTCATGTAGAAATTAAGAAAAATATTGAAAAATATTGAACGTCACCGTAAGACCTAAAAAGCTACTTAAGCTATTGATTTTGAGGCCCTGGGTATGCACAATCCTTATAAATTGATTTCCAATGCAATTGCTGCATTTGCATGTTTCGCTCATGCAGCTTCTGAAAGTTGTACATTCCCTATGGGATAGGTGCTTTTTCGCGCGGCTAAGGAAAGCTATCCGTCAACGTAGACTCATTTGAATGTTGTTGAACATATCATGTTTCGGCGTTATGTGATCTAGTTATTAAGAACATAACAAATGGTGTAAAATATTTATGAATTTTGCCACCTATAGTTGATCATAAATTTCTCATAGCGATTTCGAGTTTATTAAATTCCCAAATTATTGAACACTTGAATTTTATTTGACAAATTGGTTGGTTCAGGACGCTATTAAATTTTGGAGTGCTATTTCCATTTAGATTTTAGGTGTTGAAAGGTTTCATTTTAGGAAAAGTAGCAGATCACGTTCATGTTTATAAGCAACCACAGGATCAACTCAATAGACTCAATATGTTAACAACTGTCACGTCGACGGAAGAACTTGTAGACAAGACGAAAAGGTTGTTTTCTTTCTAAGAACATTAAACTTGGAATGAGACATCGTTCTTTTGTGGTGTAAGTAGACTTTTAATTTGTTATTGTACTCTACTCTTTTTGTTGTATCACTTGGCTAATTTATCTTGATATAATCTCGGTCTAAACGGGCTGTGCTAGTGATACAGTTGTGCGTCGGAGAGCCGGAGCTCCGCCTCCAGCATATTTTGCCGGAGCCGGAGTTGGAAAACTCCGGCAGACAAAATTATGAAAAATTATTTCATATTTCAACGAACATTTGGCATTAAATGGAAAAATTAAGTTGTTGTTTACTAATATATTACTATTTATATGTTGTTTGACTATATATTACTATATGTTGTTTACTATTAATAGTGTTGTAAAAAGGTTAAAAAAAGATAAATTCTGAAATTACACTGAAATACTTTCGCCTGCTTCCACTTTTAAATAAATATGGAATTTCCTTAAAACTTTCTTGCCGGAGCAGGAGTTTTGACTGCCGGAGCCAAAGTAACCGGAGTTTGCACAGCTCTAGCTATGGTGATAAGATGAAAAATTGAAAAACGTCAAACTACCTGAAAAGACAAGGTTGTGTGCTTGATTTACACAGTACAACTCAAGTTGTAAACAGCTTGTATATACATCTCATAATTTCTGGTTAATCGCAATGTTAATCGTAATCGCGAGAATTTTTTATGATTGAATTGCAAAGTTCATTTTAAATCATAATGTAACTTATTTTCTAAAATGTTGTTATCTTTCCTGTATGTCAAGATATTGGACTTTGTTTAGCATGCAAATATGACTTTTTAAATGACATCACACTGCATAATGTATTGTACAGAAGACTGTTTTAGTTTATTTGCAGACGAAATGATAGCTTTGATAGTTCGTAAAGTACATATTTCAATGTCAGTGGAATTATCACATGTTTGGCAAGGAAACGTTTTCTTTCTAATAACTCATTATGCTCTCTGACGTCATTTAAGTCACTTTTACAGTGTTTCCACAAGGCATCATTCAAATTTCCTTGATTTTGCTTTAAAATTTCCTTGAATTTCCTTGAAATGGGATGTAATTTCCTTGAAATTTCCTTGATTAACCGAAGTATATTTCGGCAACTAGAATTCATCAATACTTATATAAAGTAAGACAGAAACAGAATGGTATATTTCTTTCGTTCAATTAACTCTTAAAAACAAAGCCTTTACACAACAATTTTGAAAGCTTTAAAATGTAAAATACTAAAGTTTTTTAAAATATTGTTCTCAATAGTCAACAAATTCACATGACAAATAAATTCATATAACCAACACGTGGTAGCCTGCACGCAGCACGCTAGTTGATTTCCGCCTAAAATTCAGGTTGTGTGCAGCCTACTTAGTTGAATTAAAATTCTAGATTCTACTGACTCGTTTACAGGCTCCGAAAGAGGTTTTTTCATTTTTGCACACAGACATATTGGTTATGAATGAAGGAAAGTAATATAATTTAAAATTAATGAAAGGTTCCTGAAAGAATCTTCAAAACATTTCAGTTGATTCAAAAATTCCTTAAATTTCCTTAGAATTTTCAAAAATTCCTTAGATTTCCTTGATTCCTTTTTTTTCCTTGAAACGTCTCTCTTCGGTCAAAATTTTCTTGAAAAAGGAAATGCTTTTGTATATCAATTATCAAACAAAGTCGAAAATCCTGACATACAGGAAAGATAACAAAGTTTTAGAAAATAAGTTAATTATGATTTTAAATGAACCTTGCAATTCAATCATAAAAATTCTCACATAGGCACTTTAACATTTCTCCTATAGGCTTCAAATTACACCCGAGATTTCTTCCTATTCAACGGAATTTTATACTGAAAGAATTGAGGAAGTCGTTTGAGGAAGTGTTTGGCGGAGGTTTTTAACATGAGTTCAGGTACGATTCACTTTTGAATTCAAGAAGTTCATTTAATTTCAGTGGGATAATGTTGTGCTTAAGTTTTCCTCAAAATGTGGAGTAGAATTTTGGGTTTAAGTTTAGAATAATTACTTGAAATTCACCGAGAAATAAAGCTATATACTGAGTCGTTGTTCCGACAATGTAAGCATAGCAACAAAGGAAATCAAGCAGTTTTAATTCTATATATGTGATTGAATAGGCAATTCCAGGTATAGACTAAATGTTGATCTAGGCAAGAACAAAATCCATCACCACAGCTAGAAAGAGCATGTTAAAATTAGTAAAATTGCAAAGTTTGGTTGTGAAATGTTGTAAAATGAGGAAAATATAGCCCTACGAAATTTGCAAATTTTGTATTAATTTGTATTACGCGCGGGAAAATTCAGCACATTTGGGCCGAAAGTGGTGCATTTTCCCGTGCGTGATACAAATTAATACAAAATTTGCAAATTTCGTAGGGCTATATTTTCCTCATTTTACAACATTTCGCAACCAAACGTTGCAATTTTACTAATTTTAACATGCTCTTTCTAGCTGTGATGGATTTTGTTCTTCTTGCCTAGGTCAACACTTACACTGTAGTGTATAACTGGAATCATCAATTAAAGGACATTGGCAACCAAAATTTTTATTCCTTATCTGCAGTATTAGGTATACGCTATGCTAATATTCCAAAGGTCGTAGGTTCGATTCCCACCGTGGACAGGCATATTTTTCAAGCTTGCCCAGTGTGGATATGTACTCAGAGTAACATCATCGGCGACATATTTTTAGCTAACGTAAGACGCACCCATCTAATGACGTCGCAAAATTCATTGACCTTCGAGATAATTTTTCAAAAATATTTTCTAAGATGGCGGCGAAACACAAAGCGGTTTGCATCCCAGGCTAATTCTATGAGTAGATTATTACCATCTTTCGTTTCGAGATAGCATCTGTTTATAGGAATTTGAATATTGGTTTATCTATATGCATTGAAATTAGTATCACATTAGAAATAGATGATTACATGTAATTGGAAAAATGGGGGCAATGTACAGTAATTGTCTATACGTCCTTCGCAATTAAAGATACGAGTCTCTTCGTTCCTGTGGCTTGCTTTCGTGTTCATCACACGCGTGACCAGAGGCAATAGAATAAGAAGTTTAGGAAACTTGTTCAACCCTCGAAATTCAACTATTTTTGCCTCGGCAAATAATTGCCGAAGTCTTTCGATAATTTTCGAGTTTGCCTCGGCGCGCAATGAAATCACCTTAAATTCCTTCGGCAATTACTTCGGCACCCTTCGGCATTTACGTCGGCAGTTGTAATTAAAGTAACGTACATGCAGAAATTATTGTAAACAAATATATTGTTATTTTACAAATTCTTGATTCAAAATGTTTTTAAAAAGTCAGTGGTAATTAACCACAAATTGTATGAAACAATAAACTTGACGGTGACCACGCGACAGTCTAAAAGATAAAACAAAGTTTCTCGACGTGCCGTCTTTAAACCATCAAGATTGTTTTTTATTTAAGCGGAAGCCGACGCTGAAAAGCTCAAATTTAAATATTTTGTAAAGTAGCTATGAATGAAATCTTCTGTTGTTCACCTGACTTATGACGGCAATTCGAACAAAGAAATGATACAAAAAACAAACACTGCAGTTTGTAAATTTAAGCAACAAAAAAAAAACGTACAGACGCTGTAGTTTGTAATTTAAGGTACAACGGGTGGAATTGCCTCGGCATTTTTTTGCCGAGGTTGTTTGCCGAGGCAAACTACGAAAAATCGTAACTTGCCTCTGCATTTGCGTCGGCAATTGCCAAGTGCCTAGGCGAGTTTCGAGGGTTGTAATGATGCAGACATAATACACCTCATTATGTTTGTATCTTTGTTTATGCAAGAAATGCTCGGTTCATCGTCACGTGTGTATTCTATTTTTGTTAAAGCAACAAATCGCTATGTTTTTATTTAATTAACCATTGAGACATAATATCACGAGTGGATAATTAAACCAACACAAGTTCGCTGACGAGTTCCCTAAAGACCGCCGCCGTCGGAAGTAAATCAATATTGGGGGAGAGGCTCAAGAATAAATCTGAATTGCTTCCGCTCTTTTCTAGTTCTTTTGCGTGTTTTGCTCGTAGAAATGGAAATTATTGCAACGGAGAGATATTGTTTCGCTCAGCTTCTGAAAGTTGTACATTCCGTATGAAATAGGTGCTTTTTCCTTCCGCGACGGAAAGCTATCTGGTATAGTCGCCTATGTGTACCGTGTACGTTTGGCGTACCTATTTTTACACGTTAAGTCGTGCGAGAATTTTAAATCTTGTTCGATTTTTGTGAAACAATTAGAATTGTTGTTCGCTAGGTCATAGCCTATCGAACGGAAGATGGCTGTGAAACTCGTTAGAATGACAATATAGCTCATTATCTATGTTAGTCAACGTTTATGTACTAGATAAAACATGAGCAGCCGATCTGTATCTGATATACAAACTCGAGCCGAAGACGAGAGTTTGTATATCAGATACAGATCGGATGCGATGACCCATCTTATGAGTTCATCTAGTGGCGAAGTATAATTTTAAAAATAAACCTTATCTAAGCCGAGAAAATCAAAGCTGAAGTTTATGTAAATCAGGACAAATCTTTATCCTATTTACAAACATTGATATTCATTTCTTTTGTATTTTCCTCGTGAACTATTAATGAATTTTTGAATCATAAATATAGATGGATAGAAAAACTTTATTTACCCACCCTGTCAACCGAGGCTGATTTCCACAGGGGCGTATATTTCCACAAGGGACGTGTCACGCATGTGGGGCGTGCATTTCCACAGGCGGCACCGTCACGTGCGTATTGTATTTTTGCCCAACTAACCAATAGCAATGTTTTAGAAAAGTTACCTATCCGTGACTCAAAAAATAGGGAAAATTGGAAATTGCTATTTCATGAAACGATTGTGAATTAGTTTAATCCTCGAGCAATGAAACTGTTTGTAAGATACTGCTCAGAGCTGTGTATTGTTAGCGGAGCTTTTCTACATCCATCCAAAACTTATTTCGTGTTAGGAAAACTATGGCAAGCCCATTTGTTTGTAAGATAACTTTTGACCAAAGTTACGCCTATACGAGATAAGTCCATTTATATATGTTACTGTTGAAATAGCCAAATGAATAAAGGACATCATTAGTTTTTGTGTTAAGGCTAGTTTACACTATCAAAGTTTCTGTGATCACAGTAGGAATTTTGCACATACGTAAATTCTAAGTTTTGAAGGATATGTAAGAAATGCTTAAGGGAATTGCTTTGAGATCTTTCAATCCTTTTCCTCGGAGTTGTTCTCGATGAAAATTGGAAACCTCATATTTCACATATCTCACGTAAAATTTCTAAATCAATTGGAATAATTTACAAATCGAGTTTTTCGCTCCCTAAATCTTGTTTAAGAACTTTGTACTTCTCGTTAATCTATCCGTACTTATCATTATTGTATGGGGTTCAACTTATCAGTCCAACCTTGAACGCATCGTATTGCTTCAAACGTGTATTCAGAATAATTAATAAGAAGGAATATGACGCTCATACCTTTTCTCTATTTATTTAAAGAGATTGATTCTCAAACTGAATTATATTTATCTGTTCTGAAAATTTATGTATCTTGCTTCTAAAAATTCTCTTCCTCCTAGCTTTAAGAATTTGTTTTTGGTCAATATAGCGAGGTATAAAAGCTATAGTACCAGAAGTTCGAACCTAATTAGTATACCATTGTGTAGAAGAAAATTACAACAATTTTTCTGTCACTATCAAGGTCCAGTATTTTTTAACTCCTTGGACCAGAATATACGGAACGCCATGTCTGTCTATTCTTTCCAGTCGAATCTTAATTTGTTTGATGATTGTAACTAATAGTATCTAATTACATCTAGGTGTGTGGATCTAAGTATATCTTCCTTTTGATATGATGTGTGTGTCTTTGTATTATATTAGTTTCCTTGTTATATATGACTGCTCATTATTCTACCTTATATATATTTAAGTAACTTATTAATATTTGACATGAGGTAGTCTGGCAATTAATAAGCCTCGGCTTCTAGTTGGACTATCACCTCTTCACAATTCTTCATTTTTTGTCTTTTCCATAATATTACTTTTGTAATAATTGTTGTTTTATTTTGTAATCATTTGTGGCAAATTAATCAATCAAATCAAATAAAAAACATAGAATTTACCAATCTAGGCTGTGATCACAGAAACTTTGATAGTGTCAACCAGACTTTAAGTATGGTTAGATGATGTAGATATATAGTAGCTGCTCATTTTCTAGTTGTACTAGGTTAAAATAAAATAGAAATGTCAGCATATATTTTGTTTATTCGATAACTACTCAAGCCAACAAATAGATTATATCCGGAGTAGTCTAGCACTGCACGCAAAACAACCGACGTTTTGTCAACAAGGATGTCGCCTAAAAATTGCATCACACACTGTCTTGGTGGAATCTTTAAAAATATTTCGTTTTGTTATTTGATAACTACTCAAGCCGCCATAGTTTCTGTGATTACATGCCCCAAAGGGTATTGGGTATCAATTTCCCGTTTGTAATCTAAAATGACTGAAAATTGCAAACTTCGCAAGGCTATATTATCCGCATTTTACAACATTTCGCAACGAAACTTTGGAATATTACTAATTTTGTGATGCTCTTTCAAGCTGTGATGAAATTTTTGTTGAGATCAAAATTTAGTCTATTACGCAAGTGGTCAATTTTAAGTTTTGAAGAATTTGTAAGAAATGTTTGAGGGACTGATTCAGTGTTTAACACCAGGGGCGGATCCAGGATTTTTCGTACGTTAGTCAAAGTTTTCGGATGTACAATCTACTTTTTCGGGCGGCGAATGCGCGAGGCACCTAAGAGGGTTTGTCCCCCAGGAATTTTTATATTTTTAAACCTCCGAAACGCAATTTGCATCACTCTGAAAGCAGATTCAACAAAAAATTAACTTCATGAAATGGGAGATAATTATAGCAACTATCAGTCTGACTGACTCTCACAACTCGCTCCTTAGGGAAAAGTAAAGGAGAAGTACTTGCATAAATGTGATAATTGTGGAAGATGTTTCATTTTATCAAATTACGGATTGCTAGTATTATGTTTAACTATCTCATGTTAGTACTACACTCATTTTTGTTGCCTAATAGCCTTGTTGAGTCATTGATCACTTGACTAGTAATCACTACAGTGTCATATTACTCAAACATATATCAATATTAAAGTCTTAACATTCATCTATAATTAACACTCAGCCAGTTCCTTCAAACATTTCCTATAAATCCTTCAAAACTTAGAATTTACCTATATGCAAAAATAATATCCGGAGCTATCTGGCAATGCACTCAAAACAACCGACGTTTTTCTCAACGCCGGCGTCACCCAAAAATTGCATCACACTATCTTGGCGGAATCTTTAAAAATCTTTCGTTTTGTCATATGTGTTGAAGATTACCACAAGCTGATATAAACACAGATTTTAATCCAGTCCCCCCCCCGGCAATCTTGACGTCTGTGTTGAGAAAAGCTCACTACTATACTGTCTATAGTTTAATTATTTCATGAATGACTAATGATTAGTCACGTTTCTCTTTCAGAGTTAATTATTAACATGGACAATAATCGACTTCCGACGGGAATAAAAAGAACGATGAACAATCACGAACTGGCAGTTCAGAAACCAGACTGCTTCACAAGGCAAGAAGATGCCGACTTCATCGGACGACGTGATGAACTTGGAGAACGGTCGAAATTCAAGACACGTGAATATTGAACTGGTGGTGCAGGATTCGGGTGGTAGGCCATCTGCGTATCCAGAGAAGAGCTTGTTCTTCCGTGATGGAGAAAGAAAAATTGATTTTGTTTTGGTTTACGAAAGCAGCGGCGATGAAAAAGATGATGAGAAAGCCGGCATACGCGAGATTTATCAGGATAACTTGATTAAAAAACATGGTCTAGAAGTGGAAGAAGAAATATCAAGTCAGGTACTGTGGTTTTATTTTCAGATCAGTGGCAGCTAACGATTGTACACGTAAATAAGGTTAGCAATTTTGACATGGAAGGGTTTTGTACTGTACTGTATTGTACTGCACTAGTAGATGGTACATAATTCGTCAATGTGGTTATCCCCAGCATTTCATAGATAATGCTTGAAAACACCACAAAGTATACAGCAGAAGATTGAATATCAGTCCTCTGTTTGTTTACCATACATTGGTCCGGCTTCACATAAAATCGAGAGGATTTTGAAGAATGAAGCTGGTATAAAGGTATACCATTCCAGCTAAAACAAATTGTTTCGAGCTATTTGCACACATAAGGACAGCGTGAATGAATCTCCTTGTGAATTGTGGTCCTTGTGAATGTGGTCTGGTTTACATTGGTGAAACTGGTCGAAATCTCTCAGTACGTCTTAAGGAACATAAGAGGAATTGCGAGAAAGCTGAGCAAGACAAAAATGACGACATAGCACGCATGTTGTCATTTTTGAGGGAAGTGTGAACGCATGAGCAGGCGTCTTGTTACAATTACAATGACATGCAATATAACAGTGAGTAATTCCGCCTATACGTGAAATACTCTTGTGAAACGAGTATTCTTATAAAAATAAAACTATGTCTATGATCTGTTCTTTTTTAATAAAAATCTATATTGTTCTGGTAAATGTTGCGCATTGTTGTCAGAACTGAATGTGGTTGCCGGCCAGGAATCCAGTGTTGCTCGGTGTTGATAGGTTGCCTTGTCTAGGATTCTGATTTACGATCAGAGAACGTTTCAGAAGCTTTATTATGAAACCTGGTGCGCATTTAGCATTTTTAAAAAGAATTACGTTAATAAAATGACGTAATTTGTCATTTTGTGGTCTACCAACTGCTAGAGTAGGGTCGGTGGGCACCACAGGTGGTCCCACAGACTAATAAACTACGCACATATTCATAATTATTATAAAGTAGGAATAAATCTTAACTAAGCTACGACATTGTTATGTACTGGTTTAATTAAGCAATGGCACAGAGGTGAAAATATGCCATTCTGACTAACATTTTTTATCGGACTCGTACTTGCTCCACTTGGCATAAAACACATGTCATTCAATAGCTAAAAGCCTGATCTTTCCGAATATGAAAAAAATTTGTTCATACGCCGAGTAATGCACGTACAATAGCGCGCTAAAGTCCTATTACCTTTTTTTATTCACCCTGTAAATAAAAATGATATTAACGGTTCCTATTGAATAGATGGTATAAGTCGGCCTGATCAAATTTAAATATCAGTAATATATAGATCAGCGCGTGCACTGCAAGCCCGATAAAGATGCACGCCCGCAACTAAGGACGAGTACGCAAAGGAAAAGGGGAAGACGAAAAATTACAACTCCTCCCCTTCTTATTTTCCCGCGCGCCCCGTTAATTATTTTTTGGCCATTAATTATTCTAATTCGTTTTCCTTTCGGGTTTTTTCGTTTCCCTCATTAAGTATTTTCGTTTTCCCTAATTTGATAGCAAGCGCCTGGGGACGAGGCAGGGTATAAGTAAGGTTTATGCAAAGGTGGAGCAACTTGACAAGAGGAAAAGTGGGCGTATTTCGTTTCTTGATGTGTTGTCGCCGCTCCCTCCTTTCTCCCGAGCAGGGCGAAGGGAGAGAGTGCGTAGAAACGGCAATACATCTCTTGGGACCATCCGTCATGCAGGCATTGCAGGGGTTACATCCGTGCAGGGGGGACCATCCGTGATGCAGGTATTGCAGGGGTTACATCCGTGCAGGGGGGACCATCCGTGATGCAGGCATTGCAGGGGTTACAGCCAATTGCAGTTGAACTTGCATTTTAAACGCGTTGTTACATCGTTGAAAAGTATGTGTTCAATCCTTGGAAACACGTCGTTGCTGGGGGCGTAACGTGAACTTTTCGCGGGCGTTGTTGAACTTCTGAACGGCGTACAAACAAACATATAACGAGTTCAATGTTGTTTTCAATCAGATAAGTAGAGAAATGCGAAAGACAGTATTATGGGAAAGCGAGACAATTATGAGAAAAATATTATCTGGACTGTTAACATGAGTTGTCTTCTGATAATAGCTCAGGACAAACATTGACAGCTGATGCTCTTTCCTTAGGGAAGGGCACTGGCCAACGTTACAATATGCTTTTGGATTAATATAATTAGGGTTTTATGAATTGTAGTGTTTACTAGAGGCATCATTGTATTGTTGGTTAATTCGAAAATAATAATAATAAGAAGAAGAATAACCGCTATCCAGTACAAATAAAGTTAGTTTAGACTTCCTCCTGATAGGAACACTAGAGAGTTTAAGTTCGACTTCCAATACCGATACCGATGTTTTCACTTCCGTTCTCATTTTGGTACCGGGAATTTTAAAGCGTTAAGTTATCCCGACAGATGAAGTATATAGAACACATCAAAGTAGTAATATAGAGGCCGTTCGGGCCGGATTTTTGAGGAGGAGTGAGGCGGAGTGAGGCGGAGTGAGGAGGAGTGAGGAAGAGTAATGACGTCACTCGTCATTAACATACGTCATAATTATATGCAACGACGTCACGCGGGCGAGCTTAAACACGATCGGTTGAAACTTGCTGACTACGCATTTTTTAGCGTCCTTCCACGTGTGCGACACAATAGTTAGGGCTATATACAAGAGAATATGTTGTTGTCTGGAGTTTTATAAGTACAGCTCTAGCATTTTGCTGTTATTGTCAAGTGATTCCTTTAATTTAGCTCCTAGAGGAGTAAAAAATCTGATACTATATGAAATAGCATTAGTGTTATATATCCAAAACTTATATATTCGGGGTATACAGCTATATGTTTTGTTGTTAAGTAATATTTATATATTATGAAGCGTCAAAACGCTGAGAAATAGCATGTGGTAAGAGTTATTATGTATCTACAATTAAACTAATATTTAAATCCCGGTCTGCCATATGAGGTCTATATACGAGAGAATATGTTGCTGTCTAGAGTTATATAAACACATGATATATAATTGTCAAGCGATTTCTATATTTTAGTGCTAGGTTTTTAAAGTACTAAAGTAATAAATTTAATAATAACAAGATAAGACAACTAAAGAGGGATCCAGTACACAAAAAGGTTATGGAAACCGGGGATGTCCTTGTTAACGATGATAACTTCGACCACATGCAGGGAAGCGCTAGAGGTCACTATTTACAAGAGAACATTTCTTTTGAAAAGCCTTTTCAGAAACACACGGTATCGTAGTGATATTGACTCTTAATGGCTGTTTGTGCTTGGTCCCGCGCGACCCTCCCGCGTGACCCGCCAGCCTGATTAGTGTACAAATATTTTGTACGTTAATATATACATGCACCCGCAAAGCCACGCGCCTGATTTTAAGGCATACACCTACGTTATAAATAATCCCTATCTATCCATTGGGATACACTCAGTTATGTAAATTCGTACTGCCTTAATCCCCTTAATTACCTACACGCCTCCTAATGACTAGCAACCCATAACAACGCAACATTTGTAAAGTTTAAAACATGCTTATTGATACAAATAACAGACGATAGTGTCAAAAATATTACAACTAAAACTATTTGTTAAACTGTTCTATAAGTTTTTTTCTCCATGAGTTCTTGATAAGCTTTATTATGATCTGCCTCAAAACATCTAAATCGTTCACCCGTCACCTTCACAGAATACATGTAACTCGCTTTGCTTATCAATATCAATTTCATTCCGTTTCAACTCATCAAAAATTATATCTATATAATATTATATATATTATATCCATGATACCCTCACCACAACAATTGAACAGCGAATGAGACACACAGTATTTATTTCAGTAAATATATGCAAATTTACATTACTAGCTAGCAACGTATTATTATTACAAGAGGTCTATTTTATCAAGTTCACTTGTTAAACCAAATCTACGAAATTCATCATAGGCCTCCTTAGTGTTAGATTTAGAACTGTTAAATGTCTCTCCTGTTTCTTCAATCATGTACTGGTATTGTAGTGGATTACTGAAGAGCACGATGCCAGTGTTGGTCACCCGAGGGCCTTGTTGCTTCCATTCGACTCAGACATTTTTTTTCTTTTCTTCCCATTCTCGACTTCGCTCGCAGCCAATCTGTAATAGTTGTCCAAGCTAACACCTGTTTTCTTCTCGAATTTTTCCTTCCTTTTTGTCATATCTGCAAATATCTCACCCACAAGCATCTGCTTACAGTTCGACAAATATGTAAAGGTAGGGCCTTGCACTCGTTTAGGAACACCAACACTCAGAATCAATTGTGATTGCATTTGACGCAACAATATATCATACAGGGCATCGTCCCCACGAATAAATTTCGGTACCAAACCCTTTTCAATCAAAATGTTTTCCAAATCTGTAATTTGCCATTTCGCCTTTTCAATAGGTAAACCAACTCCACTCTCACACTCTGTACTCAATTCAAACGATTTACCACTCATCCACGAAGAAACAACCTCTTCCCACTTTGCTTGCTCCATCTCGACTGAAAAAGAGCGCGAAAATTTGTTTCCCCTCAAAAAACTTTATCTTCCAACAACCAATAAACGTTAATTCTACCAACAAGATAAATTTCAGCAGCTTGCCAAAAGACCTCCAGTAAGAGCGTTGTCAAAATATAGACGATGCTTGTTACAAGACGCTTGTCGATTTTATACAGACACTCGTTAAATCAAACAACCAATCATAGTAAGCCAACATTAACCCCTCCATTGTATCATACACGTGAAAGGACGCTAAAAAATGCGTAGTCAGCAAGTTTCGCCCGATCGTGTTTAAGCTCGCCCGCGTGACGTCATTGCATATAATTATGACGTATGTTAATGACGAGTGACGTCATCACTCCTCCTCACTCCTCCACCACACTCCAATTATGACGTATGTTAATGAGTGACGTCATTACTCCTCCTCACTCCTCCTCAAAAATCCGGCCCGAACGGCCTCTATATTATTACTACTCATCAACCGTCACGAAAATGTACGGCATACTAAACGGCAGCTGAGCTAATATTCCGACTAAAACATGACTCAGGCGATGCTAATAAACAAATAGTTTACATGTTTATCGTAAAAATTATGAAATGTCCGATTTATATGAGTTTATCTTACAATTCCCCCGACTTCCAAAACAAGGCCAACTTCGGTAGTGGTGACTTCCAATACACTTGTCCTCGTGAATCTTGCGAGTAGAGAGCATGCGCATGACATATTGTTAGTATCGGTATTGGTATCGGAAGTCGAACTTAAACTCTCTACTAGATCAATATAGAATGACTCGTACTGAACATCTAGTAAGAACAGTTCAGAACTGACAAAGTTTTCTTTAAGCCCTTCAACAGTTTTTTACAGCAATCTTTGTTTCATTATTTAGAACGAAAATTTCCATTTTGTCAAAGTTCACGCACCTCTCGAAACCTTAGACAAGCTTGCCGAACAACTCATGATACGAATGCCCGTCAAAGAATCCCATGATTTGCCAGACCTGTCGCCAAAAAAGACGATGTGGCCGAAAATTTTCCGTATATTTTCAGACTGGTGGGAAACTGTAGATCCGTTCGTGAACAGTGCTCCGTGCATACAACCGATGAAAAAACCTGTCACAGCCACCTTTAGTTGTATTAATAAGTCATCCTTTCAGTCGAAAAACGGGGAATTGTTTTTTGATACCGCTGACCGCTGTCGTATGGTGTATCGCATACTCCAGATGACGTCATTTGGGTCAAAAGAGGACATAAATGTGGAAGAGAATCACTCTGTTGACTCTGGCATTGATAGTTTATGTGATGACGAAATCTACACCGCTTGCTACCCATTGCATGACGGGCCGTCTGTTCAGAAAAGCGATCACGTGGCAAACGATCGACAGAAGCTTCGTACTGATTGGTCATCTTTCCGACGAATATTCAAATATCAGCCAATCAACGCGGTGCGGAGATATTTTGGCGGGAGAATTGGATTCTACTACGCATGGCTTGGAGTTTACATCGCAATGCTCGTCCCGGCAGCCTTTGTGGGTGTGCTATGCTTCATCTATGGTCTAGCAAGTTTAAACACTTTCCAACCGACCAAAGATATATGTGACAAAAAGAACGAGAAATTATTCTACATGTGTCCAAAATGTGACAAATATTGCAGTTTCTGGAGTCTCAGCACAAGTTGTGATTACGCTAAAATTGGCCATCTTTTTGACAACGGAGCGACCGTGTTTTTCTCCGTGTTCATGTCCATATGGGCGACGTTATTTTTAGAAATCTGGAAGCGTACCCAAGTCCGACTGAGCTACGAATGGGATGTTTATAACTTAATAAACGAATACGAACCTTCACGCCCACAATTCTTATTGTCTACAAACGATGTACCCGAACGTCAAAACCCAGTCACCGGCAAGTATGAACGGTATATCCCAAGTTGGACGCGGTTTAAACGCACTCTGGGTGGCCTAGGGGTTATATTTTTTATGGGTTCGGTTGTAATCGCCTCGATCGCGGGCATCGTCGTATACAGAGCGACCACATTGGCCGCATTGTATCTGAATTCCAACAACGACATTCGTCGGAATGCCAAGCTAGTCATTTCATTCACAGCTGCAATCATGAACCTGGTTTTCATCAAGATTTTGAGTTTCGTTTACGTCAAGATTGCTGTCATTCTCACCGACTGGGAAAATCCGCGCACGAAATCCGAGTACCAAAACGCGCTCACGTTTAAGATGTACTTTTTCGAGTTCGTGAACACGTATTCCTCGCTTTTCTACATCGCGTTTTTCAAAAGCAGTTTGATCATTGGAAAACCCACCGAGTATAGTCGACTGAGAGAGAGTCGAATCGAAGGATGCGACCCCTCTGGATGTTTGATTGATTTATGTATACAACTTTCTGTTATTATGATTGGGAAACAGTTTTTGGGCTTTGGATCGGAGTTTATTTTGCCGTGAGTAAACTATCCTGCCTCGTACCCAGACGCTTTGGTTTGTTCAAATTAATCCACGCGGCCCACACAAAGGCCACGCAAGCCATAGAACAACACATAGCGTCTGGGTACAAGCCAGTAAACTATTTATACATCGGGGAGCGGGGCGTGGCACTGAAGAGAAATGTTTTTCTTGGTAAAAATTTTGCTGGTCCAACCAAATGTCAAAAACATTTTACCCAACTTGAAATAACAATTGAAAAATAAATACACACCCCTGGCCAAAAACGTTGTAAAAGGATACCGTCAGTTGTCACAAATGGCCTTACCACTTCTGTGACATGAGTTTAAAAAAAATGCTTGTGCAATTTTATGCAGTCTAAATTTTTATGTTGTCTGCAAATATACTTTCTTTGGAGACGACTTGCTTCAAAATAGTGACTCTGATTGATTTACATATTGTACTGAGATGTAACTGTTGACATTGTTTTTAGTCTTTAATATTTGAGTGAGCCATGCTTTGGAAATGACAATTAATTTTTATTACCCAACCCTTGAGTTTTGTTTTTTATTTACTCAACCTTTTACCCACTCAAAATTTTGTTTATCCAACCCTTTTCTCTCCCGCCATAAATAAATAATGACCGGTCCCTAAAGTTTTGCAGTTGTCTTTAAGTTCTATCTGAAAGCCAGAGGCATTAACTGTGTTTCTTCTTTCCCAGGTCTGCAGTTCGCGCATGGAACAAATGGCGTCACAGAAAAGAAAAAAAAGACGAAGAAAATAAGACGACATTGCCACAATGGGAGTCTGACTATTTACTTAATCCTGAACCAGATTTTAGAATGTTTTACGAATATCTTGAAATGGGTACGTTCATGTAATAACCACGCGTGAAAATCTCCCAGATTGTCGACAAGATGTGTTCGCACTGCTTGTTCCCAGTTGCAGACAAGTCTGGAACAAGTTATCATCTTGTAGCAAGGTTGATGAGGCCAACGTTAACAGACTCGCAACAAGTTGTTCCAACAAGTCTGATATCGTCTGCACGTAACAAGTTGATGACACCAAGCTCGTAGCAACTTCTTACGAACAGCCTGTATTAGTCGTGTTGGAACAATTTAAGACTTTCCAGACTTGTCACAACAACTGGGAACAAGCAGTGCGAACACATCCTAATATCGGCGTGACAGCAGCCTTGTTACAACTTGTTTACAAATCTGTAACAATTGCGCGTTTTTAACGTGTGCCTTTACCATCCCATTGCTCATTCCATTAATAGGAGAACGTCTCATTTCTTTTACAGTTATTCAGTTTGGTTTTGTTACAATGTTCGTTGCGTCGTTCCCATTGGCTCCTCTGTTTGCTTTGTTAAACAACATTTTCGAGCTCCGTGCCGATGCCACGAACTTTGCAGTGAATTTTCGACGCCCAGTGGCAGAAGAAGTGAAGAATATCGGAGTATGGTTCGGGATTCTTGAGATTGTGACCAAAATTTCTGTGCTTGTCAATTCCTTTGTGATCGCTTTCACAGCTGATTTTGTACCAAGGTAAGAGCTGATCTACCGCCTAATAATGTAAGAACTAATACAAGACAACCAATATTTAATTAAATATATTAACTTTACTAAATATTTTGATCAAATTGATTGTGTTGCAATGGGAAGTACACTTGCCCCAGTTTTTGACAATTTATTTATGGGATTTCAGAGATGGACCCAGCATGATCTGGTAGGAGGGGGAGGGGATGCTCTGCCAGCTCTGGTGCCGAGTTTTGTCAGTCGTGCGTGCCGCCCGCCCATCAACTTGCTTGACTGCTGCAAAGTCTTGCTTGACTACTGCAAGTCTTGCTTGACTGCTGCAAAGTCTTGCTTCACTACTGCAAAGTCTTGCTTCACTACTGCAAAGTCTTGCTTGACTGCGGCAAAGTCTTGCTTGACTACTGTAACGTCTTGCTTGACTACTGCAAAGTCTTGCTTGACTACTGTAAAGTCTTGCTTGACTACTGCAAAGTCTTGCTTGACTGCTGCAAAGTCTTGCTTCACTACTGCAAAGTCTTGCTTCACTACTGCAAAGTCTTGCTTGACTGCTGCAAAGTCTTGCTTGACTACTGCAAAGTCTTGCTTGACTACTGCAAAGTCTTGCTTGACTACTGCAAAGTCTTGCTTGACTACTGCAAAGTCTTGCTTGACTACTGCAAAGTCTTGCTTGACTACTGTAAAGTCTTGCTTGACTACTGTACTTGAATTGTAATTGTTGTTCAGATTTCACTTATCATGTTATTACTCAAAAAAATACTGTATCTCATTTTGTCTTCAATTTTTTTCCATTGTCATGAAAAATAGCACTCCATCTGGTTGTGACTAGGTGCACTTCCCCAGTGCAAGTAAATCAATCTTTGTAGGATTTCATGAACATCAGTGGGTAAAAAGCTATTATGGTGGTAATAATTTTGTAATTAACTATATGATTTATTGGGGTATGAATGTAAATCATTTCTATCTTAATCGCTTCATTTTATTTTTTAGATTGGTGTATATGTATGGCTACAGTCCTGACGGAACATTGAAAGGATATGTCAATAATTCGCTGGCGTACATAAATGTCTCTGACTTAGAACAACATAGTGTACCCAGTGATACATATAAACATCTTAATTACACGTTGCCGTATTGCAGGTAATAGGGAGCTTTAGATTTGACTACGAGTACGACTACGAGTACGAGATTTGATCGCGTGCGAGGAAGTTACCGGTAGTCGTTCTCGTTTCCATTCAAATGTTGCTTTTATAACCGTAAATCAACAGCGAGAGAAAAAGTTTCATAAACTAAATCTCCTGCTGACTAAAATCCCCTACAAAACGTGCAAATAAGTCATAACATTAAAAACAGGCCAGATATTTAGTACTAATATATTATTTGCGCCGGATAAACGCTATATAAATGCTACAAATTATTTTTGGAAAACAAAAAAAATCCAACTTTCTTTGTTGTTTTTGAAAAGTCGTCGTGAGGACTACGAGGTTTCTCCACAAGTTCGTACTCAGATGGGCGACGGCTGCGACTTTTTCTCGTCAGTACGGGATGGCGTAAGCATACAGCATGCGTTTTAGCTTGACGAATCTCGTACTCGTAGTCGTACTCGTAGTCAAATCTAAAGTTCCCTAATGCTGGTACACACGTGACAAACAAGTTGTTGCAAATCTGCAAACAAGTTGTTGCAAATCTATGCAGCATGTCTGCCTACAAGCCGTCAACAAGTTGTGTTCGCACTGCTTGTCCCAAGTTGTCAACAAGTTTGGAACAAGTTGTTAACAATTTGTAACAAGCTTGTTGATATTATCAGGCTTGTTGCAAGGTTGTTCCAGCAAGTCCAATACAGTCATGATATAGCAGTATTGTTACAACCTTGTGTCGTCAACCTTGTAACATTCTTGTTCATCATGACTGTATCAGACTTGTTAGAACAACCTTGTGACAAGTCTGATAATGTCATCAAGCTTGTTGCAAGTTGTTGACAGCTTGTTCCAAACTTGTTATAATAAGCAGTGCGAACACAACTTGTCGACAGCTTGTGAACAGATTTGTAACTTGTTTGCAGACTTGTAACAACCTGTGCGTTTTTACGTGTGTAGCCTTCTGTGAACAATTAAACGCAAAATTTATTTTGTTTCAGATTCAAAGAATACCTGAAGCCGTATCCTCCCTACGACTACAGTGAACACTATCTCCACGTCACCCTGGCTCGCGTACTTTTCGTCTTATTTTTCCAGTATGTCGTATTTTTTGTCAAAGATCTGCTCGCCTGGCTGGTCCCGGATGTTCCAAAATCACTGGAGGAGAAAATAAAGCGTGAAAATCACGTGGCTCGCTTGTGCTTACGCAAGAGCGAATTACAGGCAACCCAAGAAACGCCTTGCAAAGCTACGTCCCCGCTTTGCCAATCATGTGAGGCCTTGGTCCAGCCTGAGATCTCACATTGTTGATTACATGAAGCATAGGTAACATCGATAAAATTAATATGATAGACAAATGTAGTGTTTTTTAAACCCAATTCACAAGTTTAGAGAACTCGCTTGCCTTGTTATCATTGCTCTACTCACGTAAAAATCTCACAACTTGTCAACAAGATGTGTTCGCAACAGGCTTGTAGCAAGTCTGTCAACAAGATGTGTTCGCAACAGGCTTGTAGCAAGCTTGTCAATAAGTTGTAACAATGCTGTTGTTGTTATCAAGTTGCTACAAGGTTGTCACTCACAACTTGTCGGCCTGAAAATACAAAAACTTTGACGCTTCAAGCAAAGGCGCTTCCTTCGTCTTGGTTTTCTTCTCGGATCAGGGGGGACGGGTGAAATTTGAATGTATAATAAAAACAGTTATTGAACTCGGTTTATATATGATATCATACATCAAGAATCGTTCAGACTTCGGTCAATGTTATTCTTCTTCGCTGAATTTCAGTGACAGTGTGAACATTGACCTCAGTCTGAAAATTCTTGATATCAGTTTCATCCAATAATTATTTTCATTGTGTTCGATGAGTAAAATAAATTATGTTTATAAATTTATTCTGCAACACTTACTGAAACCCATCATGCAGTAATATAGTAATATTGCAAT